AGATCTTCACAGATACCAGCTCAACACAGTGATATATGGCACTGCCTCAGCTCCATACCTAGCAGCACGAAACCTTCAATTCTTAGCAGATAATCATATGAGTTAATTTCCAATTGGCGCTGCGGCTGTAAAGACTTCGTTTTATGTTGATGATCTTATGTGTGGTGTGGATGATACTGATGCCTTACACACATTAAAAGCAGAAGTTATTGAGATACTTCGACGCGGTCAGTTTCCTCCGCCAAATGGCATTCCAATCGTCCAGATTAAGTATTATCGATGATTCTATAACAAGTGCACTTGGCTCGACATAGAATCAACGCAGCGATACGTTGTTGTTCACATTCACACCAAAACAAGTTCACAAGTCTGTTACAAAGCGCACAATAGTGTCCATCGCTTCATCACTGTTCGATCCACTTGGAGTGCTTTCAATACCCGTGATAACTTCAAAAATAACTATGCAAAATGTCTGGCTGCCAAACTTAGGATGGGACGAGTCAGTGCCTCAACATATACATCAAGCCTGGAACAGTTGCTTAGCATCTCCGGTTTTGAACTCGTGAAGGTTGGTGGACGTCTAGACTATGCATACTTACTAAACTCACAAAATCACCCAGCGATTCTCAATTTGTACTAAAGAACGTTCAATACCTGAATTTACGAAATTTTCACGCAGGCGCGAAGGCATTGGTAGCCTTCATCAGATTACAAATTTGGATTGTCAACGCTAGACATGTTGCTCGGCGCTTTGTTCGTTCCTGCGTGCATTGTGTTCGTTACAAGCCAGTGCTGTTACAACAGTAAATGGGCCCACTACCAGCTACACGCCTTACACCTGCAAAAGTGCCTTGAAGCGAATGAGTGGTCGCCGCAAGATGCCATGTGATATATTTTGTGACAATGCTACCAATTTTGTGGTCGCATCTAACCAGTTAAAGGATCTCAAACAATTCTTATTCAAGAGTGAAACGTTAAATTAAATCTATCAATATTGTTCCTCTGATTTTATTAAATTTCATTTCATTTTACTCAGGGCACCTCACTTCGGCGGCCTCTAGCAGAAGTTATGGTTAAGACCGCAAAAGGGTTGTTAAATCGCACATTGACAAACACTAAGTTAACATTCGAAAAGCTAAACACCGTGGCTGTATAAGTATAAGCCCTTCTTAATACACGTCCGCTATGCTCAATGTCATCAGATCCTAATGATTTTGGGGCATTGACAGCTGGACATTTTTTGATCGGTGATTCATTGCGTAGTTTGTCTGAGCGCTCACTAGATATAAAGAGCGTCTCACATATTGATCGCTACAACACAATCACTGCCATCAAGCAAGTGCCATCAATCAAGTTTTTGGCGTCACCGGTTTGCAGACTACGTCAATGAACTGCAAGCCCAAACCAAATGGACAACAACTTGACCTGATCTCATTGAGGGTGCTTTAGGGATGAACCATGACGACAACCTGCCACCGCAACGCTGGAGACTTGGTCGAGTCGAACCAATCGTGCTTGGACGAGACGGCCCTGTTAGAGTGGTGAATATCCGAACTGCCAAAGGAACCCCTTGTAGGCCAATACACAAATTAGCCATTCTTCCGATTTCTTGAGAAATAGTTATTCCAACGGGGCCGGAATGTTGTGTCATCATCATTCGCTAATGAATTGCTAACAGGAGCATATCCGAGTTCTTTATTTGGTTGGTCGATGGAAATATAGTACAGTTTTTCCACCAATTATTATAATATTTAAAAAAAGGCAAGAAAAACGCTTCTTGCTCCAATACATGTTATAAACATAGCTGAGTCTCAGTGTAATCAATTCCTGACTTACTCAACAAGCAGGCAAATGTGGCATGCATGGAATATGAGCCGCACATGCCGACTGTTAAAATTTAAACGGAATGATATAAGAATTCTACTTGGAGTACTAATAGACCACTGTCTAATAAGCAGACATGCAAGTAGACTCGGAACGCCATATAACGACTATTATAGAAGCTATCAGCAGGTAGCAAAGGAGGATGCTATGCTATTCTAAGACCTTGTATATGACAAAAATCGCAACCATTGGTCGAGGGTTTCTTGACGACGTCTCGGAGGTCGCACGGATAAAACTTAACTTACTGATGAAGTTCATCAAAAGTACGGTGTGATTCAAAGAGGAGCCAATAGAGTGAGGAGACCTTGGTCCCGTTGGCATCTCAATGAACCTCCTAAAGATCTAGGTGTGTCGAAAGACAGCCACTCTACCTACTTAGTTACCTATGGCAATTTATACGTTTTAAATTTTTTGTGTTTTGTGGGCATGAAAATGGTCCGATTACGCCCAACTGCAATACCGGTGCCAAGAAACATGTGTACCAAATTTCATCAAGATAACTTCGATCACAATTCAATTTCAATTCGTCTCGTCATCCTGATCATTTTTATATAGGTATATCTCTCTCGATTAGTTTTAGCTGATACAAACAACCGTTCGCTGATGTTGCGAGAGTATAAAAACATAATAAATTATTCACACTCTGTAGATGAGCTTGCGGTCATTGAAGTTTCTTTTTTTAAAAAATGTATCTTAAGTTTGCTGAATAACTTCTTTTTTTCTGTTGAAGTAAAGTTAATCGTAACAAATAATATCTGCTGCTACTGCAAGAGAAACGTTTGCACGTCTTTCGCTATCCGAATCGTTTTAGAAAAAATCTCCATTGCTTCGTCAATTTCAATTTGACGCTCATTTATATCTAGCGAGCTGTCTTGTTCGTTAGCGATTTCCAAATCCAGTTGCATCAATTCCTCTTAAGACATTTCTTATTTATGAGAAACTAGAAATTTATTTATGTCAACATCATCCATCCCTTCAAAATTAGACTCTTTTGCTAAGTTACCAATTTTATGATAAATAGTATCTGCTGCAGCGTCATCAACTTCTAAGGAGGAACTGTCATCTTTTTTCACGTGTGCACATACTGGCCATATTTTACGTCAAACACCGTTCCTGCTAGATAGTTTTACTTGCTACTAATGTTGATTGCCTTCAAAATATTAAAAGAATTCAAGAATTGTTGCATTGTAAGCTTATCGGGTCCATCAGTTTCACTCAAAAGCTTCTTAAATGATCAGCGGAGATAAAAGCTTTAAAAATTTTTAATTGCATCCTGATCCATCGGCCGTATTAATGATGTGGTGTTCGGTGGTAAAAATATAAATTTAACAACTTCAGATAAATCGTCAATATAAACTGGGTGACCAGGACTAATGCTCTGAAGTCTCAATTGTTTTTATTGCAATGCGCTTTAATTTCAGGAATGCCGCACGTTGAAGCCCAGTCTTTAAATAATAACGCCGTCATCCATGATTTCTTATTGGCTCACCAGTACAGGAAGTCGATCCTTTGAACAGCCCAAACAATAAAGATCTAGGATTTTTTGATTGGTAAACAAGCAACGAAGAAGAAGTAGTGTTAGTCTATCTTTACTAGCCTTAAACCCTGGTAATGATTTTTTAATTCTCGATATAAATGTTTTCGTTGGGAGACATTTCCAAAATAATCCTGTGCGTGTATGTTATCTATTATATTTTTTGAGGTATGTGATATGGGTTTTTTATTTGTGTGTACATATTTAGTTTTCAAGTGCACAGAATTTTTGAGCATAAATGTATTTTCAAAAACTATATTTTGTGAGGAGTCATAACCTCCCTTCGGAACTATCGTTTTTAACTCTATCGGAAAACGGTCCGCACCGACGGTGTCAGCACTAGCTGCTTCGCCGTGATCCTGTATACCAAATAACAGCCTTGTATCTTATTGTGGAGCTTAGTTACGGCAATTTATTTATTTTTGATTAATGGCGTTTTAGGGGCGTGGCAGTGGTCCGATTACGCCCATCTGCAATACCAAGAGTCTTAGGGTACCAAGAAACATTTGTACCAAGTTTCATAAAGATGTCTTAATCTTTACTCAAGTTACAGCTTGCGCAGACGGACGGACAGACAGTCACCCGGATTTCAACTCGTCTCTTCATCCTGATCATTTATATTTTTATATAGATAACCCTATTTCTAACTCGATTAGTTTTAGGTGATACAAACACTCGTTAGGTGATCAAAACTATTCTATTCTGTAGCAATAGGTTGCGACAGTATAAAAAGGCTGCTAAGTGTGCTACATCGTTAGACGCCAAGACAATGACTCGTACAAAGAAAGTTTTTTTGATTAAACTGTAGTCCTTGCTTTGTATTTGGATTCATAATCAGGTTGCACAGAAAATTCCATTAAGTAAAATTGTAATCCAGGCTAAAGCAAAAAGCTTATTTGATGATATCGAAAGTCGCTCTATAAACCCTACAAGAAACTGCTGATGGGTTCACCAATACACTCAAATTTAATATGTCAGTACTGACCGACAGTTTACTTATCAACTGACCACTGTTATTGTTAAACAGAAACATCTTCGAATTATATTGCTTACATGTGTAAGAATGAAATAGCTGAATGCTTTAGTACTGTCACCACTGACAGACAAATGAATAGTAAAATGACTGTCAGTGCTGACAGTTGTCAAAAAAAAAACGCTTATCAACACTAATCATCATTTTTCAACAATTATCTCTTTGCGTAAAAGCAACCCTGTCAAAAAGGGACGCATGAAATTCCATGTGTTTATCAACAACTGCGCAAAACAATTTTTACTGTTATTCTTGCCACGAACGAAAAGTGTTGCGCGTTAATTTTGAGTGAAATTATATTTCGTGAAAATTAATAAAATATATAATTTATTTAATAATTTAAGATAAGTTAAAATTAAAAAAAGGACATTTCAAAACTATTTAAATAAAGAACCAAGGATTTTTGAATCCATATTAAAAAAATATAAAAACTTTCAAGAATGTGCGGGAAAGTTGAACAGAGCAGTGCAGAACAGTGAACTTAAAAAGAAAATTAAAAGTGTTACGAAAAATTGTGAATGATGGTGTTGCAATAGTGAATTGTGAACTTACGGATGATGCTTTTACTTCGGCCTTCTCACCAACAAAAGAAGCAGTTGGGATTTCAGCTTCATCATCCTTACGAGATATTTGGTGTTCAGATAACAAATTAGAATCTGAGACGAAAGCGAGTGAAATTAGGTTATGGGCTATTAGAAATAATGTCCCTCAGAGGATTTATTAAAAACTTTGCGTAAGATAGGAGTTAAAGATTTGCCACTTTCAGCAAAAACTCTTTTAAATACAAACAGGTAAACGGTTAACGTTGAGACTATGTCTAATGGCGAGTTCCTTTATATAGGTATACAAAAATATTTTCTTTATAACACCGCAAACCTTTTTTAAAATTTGGAAGAAATATTGCTTGATATAGGTATTGATGGCTTAAAACTCTTTAAAAGTTCTAACCGAGTTTTGTGGCCCATACTTGGGCTATTTCAAACTTACCAAATGGGACACCATTTTTGATTGCTTGTTTTTCTGGTTTTAAAAAACCGGATAATATCAATTCTTTTACGGCAAATTTTTGTGCGGAAGTAAGGCTTTTAAAGGAAAACGGAATTGAAGTTGGTCAAAACCAAAGTTTAAAAAAATTTAATGTTCGTTTATTTTCATGTGATACTCCTGCTAGGGCTTTTGTCACAAATGTTATTTCACATAATGGTAAATATGGTTGCCCTAAATGTTGTCAGGAAGGAACATACAGATACAGAAGAGTATGTTTCTCAAAGCAGGTTGGTTTACCTAGGACAGATTTAACCTACGCGCTAAGAACTAGTCCATCTCATCATCTCGATGATTTTAAAACAAAAAAAAGCATTATGGAGGAGTCCGGGTTCGGAATGGTTTCACAATTTACTTTAGACTCTATGAAATTAGTGGATCTGGGAGTCACTAAAAACTACTAAAGTTACTAGTTAAAAAAAGTGATGTAAAAAAGATTAATAAAAAAATTAATTATATTATAAATAAATCATTGGAAATCTACTGAGTTTAGGCAATTTTTATTATACACTGGAATGTATCTTTTAAAAGATTGTATTAATAGCGATTTATACTATCATTTTTTGCTGTTACATAGTGCCATAAGACTTCTTTCATGTGAAAGGTCCTATAGAGTTGAGGCAGATACAGCTCAAGAAGTTTTAAATGATTTTGTAAATTATTTTGGGAGCATATATGGAGATGAGTTGGTTAGCTTTAATATACATGGTCTGCTCCATTTGTCGGAATGTCTTAAACAGTTTGGTCCATTAGATACCTTTTCAGCATATAAGTTTGAAAATTATATGCAGTTTCTTAAAAAAATTGTTAATAAACAAAATATTGCAACAAATATTCTTACGTCTCAATGAAAGACATACATTTTGCGACGATTTCAATAAGGCATCGAAAATAGGAACATTTGAAATTAATCCCATTAAAGAAAAGGATTCTTTTTGTTTTAGTAAAAAATATGGACCCATGAAAGCTATAAGCACTAACACATCAAACAAAGCGAAAAAATATATATGTAAAGCTTTTAAGAAAATAGAGAACTATTTTGAGACACCTTTTGAGTCTGCCAACAGTCTGGGAATTGTTTTGGCTAGTAATTTAAGTAATGATGTTAGTGAAATATCAAAAGAAGATATAGATCATAAGTATTTCTGCATCCCTCATGGCGACAAGTTTCTCCTCATTCCTCTCTTGCATCATCTCTTTCACGATTTTTCGCAACAACCCGCACATTCTGTTTCAACGAAATAAAACACATAAATTTAATAAAATTTGTATCTTCACATGAGCTTCAATACAAGCAATATGTTTGGCGATTCTATATTTGAGAGCCAAGAGCAAAATGGTAAGCAAAACAAAAATATGATATACTCGTATACAATCAATAATATTACATATCTATCATTATCAGATTATCAATCAATGATACCAAAAAAAATATATAAAACAACAATAGCAACAACATCAACGCCTTTGAAATGTAAGGAGAAATAACATTAAAATAAACATTAAATTTAATTTTGTAATTATTAATTTGAATATAATAAAGTTATTTAATTCATTTCAGAAATGATGGTTATGCTAAATAAAATTTTATGCATTATTGCATTTGCATTTTTTTTTTCTAAAATCTATAGCAACAAGTATTATTTGATAAAATTGGCTCGTTGGAAAATGGATATGTGACGATAACTGCCAAGCAAGCACATATTACTGGTAAATTGGAAACAATTGAACAAGAAGTAAAAATTTTTATATATAATTAAATTATAAATATAGGTGTTTTTCTATTTTAAAAGGCAACAGATAAATCGGAAGTACTAGCACAAAGCTCCCTGATTAGAGAGAAGGTGCATATTAAAAAAATTTAGCGATCGGTATGTCTCATGACCGGAGAGACAAGAGATGACACTATTGATGAGGTAGCAAGCCTTTTACCAATTGAAACGGTTGAGGTATGTCTGGAGGTGGAAGAAAAACTAAAAAAACCCGAATTCACACAGGCTATGGTAAACACGTTCTTTATAATAACATTAAAAATTAATTACTAATTACATCTATATATTCTTATTTTACAGACCACGTATATCTACAAACTGAAGGGTGCATCCGATGACATCGAAAACGTTTTTAGAAATATTTTTACAGGCTGCCTCCTCGAGTCCTTTAATTGGGATGGAAGAGGCGAAAAACATGCCCTAGGCGAACTAAGGCTCATTGAAACCAATTTACGAGGTAAATAAGATGAGTGTAAGAGCTTAAGACAACTGTTTTTAATTAATTTTAATTTTTTAGTAGTTTTCCAGTCACAAGGTGCCTTTGACTTTGAAAAGAGCATACGGAGAGCCATTGAACGGAGCCACCACCTAATCAAGCAAACGAAATATATGGAAAGGAGACGAAAAAATTAAAATGTATATAATTTTTTAATAATTTAATTTTATTTTATAACAATTTTTTAGTTTTGCAATTTAATTTGTAAATATGAATTATATTTTTTTATTTAATTATGTAAATATTTAAATATTAAAAAATTAATTATATTAATTCAATTAATAATGTAAATATTTAGAGTTAAAAAATGAACTATATTGATCTTTCAGTTAATCATGTAAATATTTAAATTATAAGAAACGAGTTATTTATGTAAATATTTAAATATAAATTATTATAATTTTTCACTATTCTGTATATATGTATATTTAAACATTTAAAAAAATTACCTAGAGAGAAAGAAATGTTATTAAATTCTAATGAAACCTATTTTAATAATTATATTATTTTTATTAATTATTTTGTAAAATTCTGAATTTTATAAGTTTAAAATTGAATAAAAATAAAACTATTTTGAACAAAAACAAAATTTGTCATTAATGATAGATTTACAGTCATAACTGACAAATTGCAGCTATGATAGCTTTTCAGTCATAACTGACAATTTTCAGCTATGACGGATTTATGGTCAGCAATGACTCAGAAAAAGACATGAGAGTGAGCAGTACAGACATATAGTGAATGAATTCCGAATACCCATGTGTTAAAGAGAGATGCAAACTCACACACATACGTTTGTTTACATCAGTTTTTGCACAAGGCTCTTAAGAAAATGATAGAAACTTTGCTCTGCGCGCTGACAAAATTTTTTCAGCTGTGACTGTCATATGACCTATCAGATGACCGTCACTGTTCTTGTAGGGTACTTGTATAACGACGGTGTAAGTGGTAGTGCTATTGGTAAAAACTCAGTAATGCATACATAACACAACACCTCATAAACAAACATTTATGAAATATGGCCGCTGTTTAACTTCACACATCCCATAGAAATTCAACTGTTTCTAGGCTTTGTTAGAGCACGCAAAATTGAATTATCTATTATATATGAAAATGAATGTCAAATTGAAGTGTCACAACAGACGCAAGGTATAACTGAGCCTAAAGAAGAACACTTTGAAGCGTGATCGCGCCCCCTAATACATTTAATGTGCATATCTCCTAAACCGCTAAAGCTACAATAACAAAATTCACTGAGAGCAAGCGCTTTTAGCACCTCTATCGACAGTGTGAAAATGGGTGAAGTCAGGTGACAGCCCCGCGCATTATTAAAAACTACTAAAAGCGCGATAAATTAAGCACTAAATACGTCAGTGACAATAAATTTTATTTCCGGGATGGTATGAGATGACTTTATAGGAACCGCGTTCAAAATTAGACAGCGGGCGTGGGACTGCCTACTTTAAGGTGAAACCTTAACTTAACCGATTTGAACTAACTTCGGTACATAACGTTCTTCTCATATTTTTATCTAATAGTGCGAAAATGGGCAAAATCGGATTACATCCATGCCTATTTCCCCTATAACTCCATTTTAAATTCCATCTGATTCTTTCACTATCCACTAGTCAATTCAAGCAACAATGATTGTATCGTGGTAAACCTTGTAAACCTTTGCGACCTTGTGTCGAACTAAAACTGTTCAAGCCCCTAGGTACTGAATATGTGGACCCCAGTGCCTATAGTTGACTTTTTACCGAAAATATCGGTTAGCGTGTAAAATATATAATTTAAATTTATATAATAAAATAAATAAGTGAAACTCTCGATAATAGTATGTCTTTGTGTTAAAAATGGCTTTCATCCTTGCAAGTTTCGAGAGTATAAAATAGTCGGTTACATCCGAACTTAGAACTTTCTGACTTGTTTATTTTAATTCTATATTGAGCTTTAATAGTCGGGGCAGCTGTTGCAGACAGATTAGAAGCTTTTGGTATGGCTACAGCCTTTTCTCTATTATCAAAGCGTTGTAAAATGTCCAATTTTATTTCCGAACTTACACTTTTTTTTAATTCTACCAACATTGATTTTTCTACTCACGAATGCGAATTATGCTCTTAAAAGTTTAAATACAAATAAAAAACTGGGTAACAGCCTTTTATTGTTTAAAACAAATTTTATTTGCCTTTATTTATAATTAACCTTCCACTACAACTATGCTTTCAACAATGATTTAAAAATCTTTGCACTTTTATCAAGAATAAAATAACAATTGAATGAAACCCAAATTTTGGGATTCCCTGAAATCTAAACAAATCTTAAATTAAGAAAACGGGCAATTACCTTTTACAAAGTTTAAAAATTATTCTGTGAATAATAATAAAAAAACATCGCAATTCGCGATTCGAAAAGATAACGACTAAAAGAGGAAATATTTCTTAGTTCAGTAATACTACAATATGTTCCGACCGACACTTAATCAAGATTTGACCATACAAAAATTACACTTGTTAATTTCGTCAGCGAGCTGATTTGAATATAATCGAAATCACGAAATCTCCATATGTCACTCTGATTTAGCGCCATTTTTCACTTTTTTTTCACAGTTTATTTTGGCACCATAAACTATCAAAGGGAACAAAAATTAAACAAAGAAATAAAGAAAAAAGTAAAAAATTAAAGCAATATCAAGTAAATAAGTGAAAATGGTAGAAAATAGTATCAAAAAAATGATAGTAATGTGGAGTGAGGCTGCCGAAGCCGATCTAACTGAGTTCTGACGAGGTAAAATGCCTCAGCTTCGATCGACTTGTCTAAAACAGCTGTTTTAAAACACCCCAAACGCAGTGAGGACAGTCTAGAGCGAATAGATTAAATATAATTTAATCGCACCCCAACATGGTATAAGGTCGCAACTTCGAAAGCTAAACGAAGCAAAGCGAGGTCTTAGTGTATTTATAACTCTATACCTATTTCGATTAGTTCTAGATGATAGAAGAAACCGTTAGATAAACAAAACTCTCTGCTCTACTCTGTAGCAAAATGTTGTGAGAGTATAAAGATAATGGTTCTGTAAAAAGCTGTAACACTGAGCCCTCAAACCAGGGATAAATGGATGTCCAACATATTCCAGTGACAGAGCGACTCAAAATCAGCGTTTTTTATAACAGTTTCCATCGTAGCCAGATCGGACAATGTAATAATTTTTGTTAATTCAAGTTAAACTACCCAATATTCATTAAAAATAAATATTATTGTACGGATGCATGTAAACATATGGAGAAACTATTTGAGTCCTTTGTTTCATTTGGTCATATATTAAAATAACAGATTTTTGAACTTTCAATACTAAATAAAGTGAATAAATGATGAATCTCTCAATTAATCTATGTTTTTATAATTTTCATTTGAAAATTAATACTACGAAGCATGGCATCATAAAAGATTTCATCACATTCATTTCAATTTCGCATTTTCTTTAATTTTCATTGTTTTCCAATTTTTGTAAGTGATCTTCAACAGCGGCAACAAATCTCTCTGTTCACATATTTTTTTGATAGAATTTCAATCTAGCCGTCCCTCTTTTTCCAATTGCTAAACGTCAAAAGTAGACTGAGTTCAGGTGGTTTTGACGTTTAGCAATTTCTCTCTCATTTCTACCGACAGATGAGTTGGGCATCTCTTTATCTCTGCTTCAAACAATAACATTCAATACTGCTGTGAATATAAATAAGACGAAAGAAATAAAAAAAGTATTAAACCACAATCTCGGCAACATAGCAATAAGATCACCAATACTTAGCTCACAAATGTATCACACAATGAAATTACCAGTTAGAATTGTGTGACTTGAATAAAATATAAAATTTGTGTTAAAAATGCACAAAATTCACAGAGCCAAAAATATTTGACGTCGCGTGGCTAAAAGGGAAAATATATTGTGACCAAACCGAATCGATGATATATTACCAAAATTTACCAGACAGCAAAATTCGTAGTTGCCAAAATGTTCGAGTTGCGAATTTGTATAATATTAACTGGTAAGTGTGGCCGCCTAGTTAAGTTGAGTTTATATCTTATATATAGGTACATATTTGCATAAGATATCTCAATAAAATTAAGCGCGAATGTTTTAATTAACATTATGTCATCCGGTAGTAAAGTATTACCAAGGTATCAAATAGATTCTAAACTTTGCCCTTTCTTAGTGGTTATACTTTTGTAACATGTTGCTACAGAGTATAATAGTTTTGTTCATATAACAGTTCTTCATATCACCTAAAACTAATGGAGATAGGTATAGGGTTATATATATATATATATATACCTATATATATTAAGAAGGATCTGTATATTCTGAAATCGATAGACTCAGAAACTTTTTGACCGATCATTATGAAAATTGGTATGTCTATGTATTTTTCAAATGAGATAAGCCTCCCCTACACATACTCACCACTCTACTCGGTACAAACTGGCGCACCCTAGTATAACCCACTACAATGCACCACATTCATACATCACCACACGGGACCTCCCAACACACCACAGCATCGCGCCTGTACACCACTTCAGGAAACAAAAAGGATGGTCTCGGCAGCAAATACACCTCATTCGACAGAATAGCGATCCTGCGCGCAACTCTACTCATCAGATTCAAGCTCGCTACTTCCGGCCGGCACGCGCTACTTCGATTTAATTGAACAGCGATCCAAAGTTTTTCGACCTTAAAGTGATCCTGTGGGACACATCTCTTATCCCACGTTTTATTGGTATCGGCTGCCGGATTCCATATTAATAACTTATATTTGTATAAATATAATACTAACAAGTAAGGAAGTACTATGTTGATCGATATTTTCGGTAAAAAGTCAGCTATAGGCACTGGGGTCCACATATTCATTACCTAGGAGCTTGAACAGTTTTGACTCGATTTAGACAATTTTTGGTCACATGGTGGCATACTTCAAACGTATTATTCACGCAAAGTTTTACCCCGATACAATAATTTTTGCTTGATATGCATAGTGGAAAGTGAAGAATCAGATGGAATTTAAAATGGTGTTATATTGGAAATAGGCGTGGTTGTAGT